CGGTGCTAATAAACCGTCAATGAAGTGTCACTGTTGCGTTCGTTCGGGGTGGAGGGAGGTGAGGGAGACGGGGAGGGTGGAGGAGGGGAATGGAGGACTGAGGACTTGGAGATGAAAGAGGGGAGTGGAGAACGGAGGGGGAAGATTATGTTTCGGAGAGGGCGGATCGGCGGAGTCAATGGCGTTCGGTTCGGTGGCTGCGGGAGCTCGGGGGTGGTTGGAGGGCGCGCGGACAGGCGTCGGATCGACCAACTTGTGGAGCGTACTGTAATGGGATTGGTCGGTCAACGCACCGCTTCGGCAGATATTTTTGTTGGTGGCCAATACGCCACTTTGAGATATCATCTCGTCCTGCTTACATGACCTACAGCTACTACCCTGGGCACAGCTACAAAGTCCCTCCCTACGTAATTAACACCGTCGCCCCCCGTCGCCCCCTCACCATCACAGCCGCGAGTAGTCCAGCCCCTCGAAAACTTTAGAGCAGCTTTTCAGATGTCTGACCAGCCTCTGGTACCTCGCGGCGGCGAGCTTACCGAGCGGCGAGCTCTTGGCCGCCCTGCCGGCGAGGATGTCTCTGATCTTGCCGAGCGTGTCCGCCAGCCGATTCTCCTCCGTCACGTCGCACACCCCGGCCTCATGCACGGCGACGGCCGTCCTGCTCACGTCGAGCAGCAGCAGCACGCGCTCCGCGGCGTTCATGCACGCCACGGCCGCCCGCCGCGCGCGGTCCACACACTCCCGCGCGAGCCCCGCGTGCTCTACGTCGAACAGCTGCGCGCAGAGGCACAGCAGCACGCACTGGTCGCTGCGCGTCAGCGCCTGCGTCGCGTGCTTGACGGCCCGCCGTGAGAGCGCCGCGAACGCCTCCCCGTCCAGCGACCGCTGCGTCTGTCCGAGCGACACGATCATCAGCTCTAGCGCCGTGTGCTGCTCACGCGCGGCCGTGATGTGCTGCTCGAAGAGCACGAACGCCTCGGATAGATTGTCGTACACAAAACGCCACGCGTGCTTGCCGAGCGACGCCCCTGTCGCCGCCACGTGCAGTTGCAGCCGCAGCGCGAGGAGCGCGTGCGAGTCTGGGATGAGGCTCACGCATTCCCCGGCAAACCCTAGCACGTCCTCCACCACCTCCACCTTCTCCTCCGCTTGGCACCGCAACGCCAGCCGCAGCGACGCCAGAATCAACGACGGTAGTGTGATCGGTACTCGCCTCGGTCCACCGTGCAGCAGTTCTTGCCGCAGCGACGCATACAACGAAAGAGCCCTTTCTACATCCGTGTCGTCACACAAATACACGATCTTCGCCACAAGTTCTTGATCTTCTTGGAACGTTGCCATTTCCTCTATTGTATACCTTTCCGACACCTGCACGTCGTCCGCTGCCGCTGTTCCGCCGCCCTCAGGCTTGCCGCCCGGAACTGCGCTCATGTGGCTCTGCGGAATCAATGCGAGCAAGTACTCGTGATGATGCGTCAACGACGTCACGTCAAACCGCTCAAACTCCACACCTTCCTTTTCCGACATCCCTCTCTCATCCACGCGCCGATCCTGCACCAGGGGAGCCACATACTTGAACAGCTTCTCGAGCGTTCCTTCGTCCTCAATACAGGGAGTGTACCCCTTTGCCGACATCAACAACTGCGCCGCGAGCGCTCGTTGCTTGTCGTAACTGAGAAACCGCTGCAGCACGACATAGTTTTCAAGCTGCAGTACTGACCCGACACTGCCAAACGCCTCCAACAGCATCGTCAACACGTTGACGGCAAGCCTCTCATCCTCCGCGCTGAGCGCCGAGTAGCTCCTGTCCTTCCCTTCCGATGCCGACGACAATCTCACAGCTGTGCGCGGAGAAATGCCGTCTTTCTTCGGATGCTCCCCGCCCAGAAACTTGTCCATATCCGCGACGCAGAAGCCAAGCACATTGTCGACATGCTCAAAGCGCTCGGGCTCCGACTCGAGCGCAAACGACATGAGCGACGAGTAAATGCGCAGCCTGTCCGTTAGCGGCAGACTAGTGCCCTGTCGCCTCATGACGCCCGGCATTTCGGATCGGAAGACGTCGAACGCATGGGCGTCCCTCGCCGTGTTGGCGGCGTCGGCCGAGCTCGCCGAGAACCTGCGCAAGCGGTCGATGATGGAGACGAGGATGGTGCGCATCTTGACGCCCTTCTTCAGCTTGCCGCACATCTGCATGAACGCGTCCAGCGTGGCCAGTTGGAACTCGTCCGGAAACACCTGGGCTACGCAGTCCGCCAGATACTCCTGCGCGATCGCGTCGTTGCAACTGACGATCTGGTCGAGAATAGCGTGCAGAACCTTCCCGCGATACAGGGCCAGATCGGAGCCGACCAACCGGCTGAGCGTGGCGATGTTGCTCCCCACCAGCAGCCGCAGCTCCAGCCTCTCCTTCTCCCGGAGCTCCATCTCACGCGGAGAGCAGTCGTGTTGCATGCGCACCCACAGGCGGTTCATCTCTGTAAAATTGCGGAGGACAAAGTCGATGCTATCCTGCACAGTGCCCCCCGCCACGGCGCCCGTCTCCTTCGCAGCGTCTTCTTCGCCATTTTCAACGGCAGCGGCATGCGGGAGCTTGTCCTTCATCATCTGCGACAAGTAGGCCCGCAAAAACAGACCGCGCTGCGGGTGCTGCACGCCGGCGCACATCTCAACCAAGTCGCGCAGCACGTCCTTCGGGGGAGCCTGCATGCTCTTCACATACACGCTCCCCGCGGTGACGAGCAAGTAGAGCCTGGGAAGTACGAGCGGGGTCTCCTGGACGCGCTCGTACAGCTCGCGGACAGGGGCGCCGCGGCGCGCGCTCTCCATGACGTACATCTCGAGGAGGCGTAGCTCCGCGCAGACGGAGAGGTAGACGTCGTAGTAGGCCTTTGGCGAGAGCTCTGCAGCCGCGGACGAGCGCAGCTCCGCGGCCACGTCGGCCGCGATCTTCACGGCGTCCTCCAGGCGGTCCGTGTCCAACGCGCGGCGCAGGCGCTGCGCCTTGAGACGCACCGAAGCCGTCGACTCGCGGTGGTGCCGCCCCTCGTCGGGACGCACCGAGGCGGTGACGCCGCCTCCGGACAGCGGCATGGCGCGGCGCGGATCATGCACGGCTGCGGCAGGGAGGAGGGAGGGGAGGGTGAGGAAGAGGAGAAGGAAGAGGGAGAGGGGGAAGAAAGGGTGCGGTCGGACGGGGGCGTGTGGAAGGGGAGGGAGAAGGGGGACGCGCATGGAGGTTGCAGAATTGGGCGCATAGGGCGCGATGTGAATTTCTGTAATAAGGTTATTTATGTCCATGGATCAGTATTATGACTCGGGCATTCGTGCCACGCCGCGTGTGCGTGCGACAAGTGTACCTCCTTCGCTCTGCTCAAAACTATTTGCTTGCCGTCCTCTTAACGCACCTCCCCCCGTCGTTCTTCTCTTCCCCCTCCCGCCTCTACCGCCCCCTCCTTTCCCCGCCGCCGCGCAAAAGCCTCCTCCGACGTCGCCGCAACATCCAGGATGATCTGCGCTACGTCCGCGCTCTTCCAGTAGTACGCGTGCGCCTTGATGGCGCCCCAGCTCGCCATCACGTCCAGCAGCGGCACGCCCATCCCGTCTTGCAGCTCGTAGTCGATCCGGTCGGAGAGCAGCACCTCGCTGCCGCCGGTGCCGGACGCTCTTTCGCCGTCCCTCTCCGCGCTCTCCTCCCCGTGCGCCTCCCCGCCCGGCTCCGCGCATACGTACGACGACGACCGGCGCATGCCGGCCGCGGCGACGCGCCGGGCCTTTTGGCGGCCGTCGTCGTGCTTTTCTACGCGCTCGTCTGCGGCGGTCTGCTGCGCGTCGGCGGCACGCTTCGGCGCCGCGCGGCGCGCGAACATAGCGAACAGGTCGGCACGCGAGAGGTTGTCGATGATGTCGTCCCAAAAGAGCGCGGCGTCATCCCAGAAGCTCCGTCGATGCGGCCGCACGCGCACGGGGTCGCGCACGGGCTCCTGGTCGTCGCGCACGAACGGCTCGAGGCGGTACGCAACGGGGTCGAGCGGGTGGAAGACGTTGACGAAGCGGAGGTCGTGGCGGTGGCTCCGCACGGTGGCGAGACACGTCTGCTTGCCGCTGTCCGGGGCGAGGG